GAGTTTCTCATAAGACTAAATGACAATTAAGTTATTCGATTTAGAACTATTTTTGGAAACACAAATAAAAACAGACGAATAACACGCAAAACTACCCTAAAAAAGGCAATGTTTACAACCACGCTTGAATATCTGTCGGAGAAAAAAAAATGTCTGAGCGGCGGCATATATTCCAATTGTTACGTCATTGCTGATTTGTAATTGTTATGGAAATAAACAAGTAACTCGGGGAAACATCCATTCAGTGGCGTATCTACGTAAAATGGCGCCCGACTGTTTCGTTATTATTTAAGCAGAAATGCGAGTTTAAGTGAAGACGGGACATGCTAACTTCATTCACCTGTTGTATTTGTGCAGTTGAAAGCAGTTTATATTCTCGAGTAATGTTTTGCTTGACGCCACTTCCTGTGGTATATATAAAACATACTAAGAATTGAAAAGTTTTATTGTACCCTTTTGGCCCTGTACTAAACCAGATATTGTTTTTGCTTGCGAATTTTCAACGTTTTATTTTATTTTTTTCAAATGCAATTTTGCAACAGTTGCAGTGAGATATAAATCCTTACGCCTATTCCAACACTATTTTGCGCTATTCTTGGACGATTCACTAAAAATTTGACGTTTTTTGGCTCGCTATAGATAATCCTTTCTCTAAATAAACCAACCGATATAGATGAAAATACGCTCCTATATAGCTTGGATAATTTCGATAGCTAGGTAAGTCCTTGAAGAGATTTTTTGGTGAGAAATCGGTGGCCGTTAAAAATTCACTGCGACATTAATTTCACCCAGATTCCAAAACACTCACTATAACCAGGTTGACAGGCGCATGTATATTAGCGAGAGCACACTACTCGACTGACGGTGGAAAGTGGTCATACCGCGATTTTATCTGTGCAGTATTAAAAATATAAAAACGCTCGTGTGACGCAGCATCCAAATGTTATTTACGTGCAGTTGAAGGCAGTTTGTATTGTCGGGTGATGCTTTGTTTCACGTCACTTCCTGTACTATATATAAACCAAATTACAGAATAGAATACTTTTATTGCACCCGCTTACCCCGTACATTTAAGAAAACATAGAACATAAAATATGACTGCATTACGCAATAACCAAACTGAATTCACCCGTTGTAAGAGTACAGACAATTTGGTATTGTTTAAAGCAGGTAGCGCGCAACGAATTTTATGGGTCACCAAGAGTACACCAATTTCACAAGGGTGTTGTAGCAAGAGTGAAGATAACTATCATAAGTGATTCAAGAGTTCTGTTGAATAATGTATGTTTGTGGAGGTCTGGCCTTGGTCAGACGAAACGTCACAGAAATATATTTGTGTTAGTGTATAATGATGAAACTGCTGAAACTCAAACCCCGACTACAAACGTTTTAACCAAATCCAAAAATATTCCGTAACTCAATCAACCCTCCCTCCAAGGTGAAGCGTTTTTTTTTTTTATAAATTGTTCAATTACCTTAATTAACCGTGAATCATTATAGCAAACATGAGGGGAGCTGATTCTGATGACCGTATGGTCGTATCGCTCCCCGGTCTATACCAAAATGACTATAACACAAGTGAGGACACACATTGGTGACGTTATAAGCGCTCGTGTGACGTCACACCAGCCATTTTGTGTCCAGAGTTCTATCGCTGCATGATCCTAACTAGGTGATTTAAACCTGCGATCGTTAAACAGCTAAATAAAAAAAAAACGATGCTCAATAATTCGGACAAAACTTTCGCAGCGGCAAAACGAATCAACATTCTTCTGAAAAATTAATTATCCGCACATGTTTCTCGGATAACTCGGCTCGGCTCGGCTCGGCTCGGCAAACTTCACTCGATAAATCAACAATTAATACCAAAATAATAAACAAAAAGATACACATTTTAGGAGGAGGATTTACATATTTATCCCAGGGGAGAGGAAAGCCGATAAGACGGCTTATCCATATGGCGAACCACGTCCCCTCGTCCGGTTACCATTCCAAGTCGGGTATGGGATTAGTTATATTGTTTGTTTTCGTAAGCATATTTCATTATAAAATTCCTGATGTAAGTATCGCTACTTGCACATAAGCTATTTTAACAAACTGACAGACCTACAATACAAATTATACCACAGAAACTTGCACTATTTTTTGCGGTACATGTCATGATATTAAAATATGCGTATCGCAAATTTTCAACAAGATGTACATTGCCAAAATAATATTAAAAAAATATACTACATGCATGGAATGAAGGATAACGTCGTATATCAAGTTTACAAGAACATCTAATAATCTGGAGTGTATAAAATAATATATTATCTATTTGACTCTTGCCGCAGGTCTACTAAGAACTAGCATATCGTTTTTCAATAATTTTATTTGTCTCCTGTTTTGCGTGAATATTTAGCCTTAAATTGAGAAATCGTTTCAAAATTTTAAAAGCGATATTGTGGCTAGATGGGAAATTATACTCCAAGCAACTTTATCTGTCAGAAAAGTAACAGGCGAACATATATTAGCAAAGGCATTTATATTATCGCGAATTATCGTTTATTCTTCGCGCAAAAATACGATTGCTTTTTTGTATGGGTGGCATAAATATTGGGTAAAACTATCAATTTTCAAATATTTATCGTGTGTGTAAGACCTAAAAAGAGTTAGAAACGATTGTGGGCATTCATCGGGATATTGACACTTTCCATAGAAACAAACAAACAATTTGAACCCGTGTCTTTATAGGGTTCCCCCGGAAACATCAAGACTAATTTTTCACTGTTGGATATCGATAAAATTATAGTTAAGTTTTATCAACGAAAACGTAGAAGACATGATGGCGTCGCTAAATCACCTAGTAAATATTTTACATTTTCCGACGCAAAAGAATCGAAACATCCTGCCAATAATAAGTTGCTAAGAGCTGCAACACCAGTCGCGGCGGCTGGTTTTTAAATTTTGTACCTTATAATGTAATGTGCATGCTTCGACGAAATTCATTAGGCCGCACAAATGTGCTAGCCATGAGATCGTTTACATTCTATAATTTTTGGAGCAACTGTTGCAACTGTTCGTTAAATTAAAGGAAAAAATTTTCCCGAGAAAATTCATTCCATCAGGTTCTGGATTGATTAATGTAAAACGCAGACTTTAAACTTTTGTGGCATGGTGTGAACAGGTATCATAATACCAGTTCAAATAGTACCTGATTTAAACGTATGCATTAGGTTAATGACGTTTCACACTTGCGAAGGAAAGCGATATGTATTTTTCATACAGAACTTTGCTACGTAATTGCGTAACGAAGTAATTAGGGAACGTTGTTGTTTAACTCAAGTTTGCGCAGTGGACATGTCAAGAATTGGAGAACCTTGAATGAGATAACTTATACAATTTTACTGGTGCACGATAAGTTCTATCTGATGTCGAAAGCTAACTTTAACCTCTGCAAATGTGTCGATGTAATATTAGGTTAAAACAAGAACAAATCAAAGTTTTTGTTATTTAATTCAAAAAGCCTCTAAAAAAAATTCCCCGCTTTTCAATTTTGCAGATTTTTGTATGATAATCGCAATATTTTATCTCCATCTCATAATTATATTTAGTCTCCTAGATTGTCTTTCAAACAATATAAAACTTATCTGCATGTAATACGCGAGAGCTATGCTCAAATACACGGACACGTAGCGCCACCCAATGGCAATAATTTTGATGACGTCATAGCGAAAAAAATAGCCTTCTGGAGAATTTTTTTTATCTTTAACCACTGAAAATTTCAAAGCAATTGGTCCAGTATTCGAAGAGAAAAGCGATTTTTTAAAAATGGAGACGGAGACAAATAACGATAACAACAAAATTTTGAAACGATCGTCCAATAAGGTTCGTGGGATATGAGGTTTAAAAGTTGCATAACACACACGGGATGATAAGATAACTATCGCAACTTTCACGAAACCGCACGATACCAGTATGATTCCACGAGGCAAATACCAAAAGGAAAATGAAATTACCCGAATAAAATGCAAAACAGTAAAAAATCTTCAAACAAATTGACGAACGAGACCTTCTGACGAAGCTAAAACAAACCGACGCTGCCGCGCTCCCCCGATTCGCTGGACACAAATGGCGTCCGATATGCATCTACACTTGGTTTATAGTCACTTTGGTTTATACTGAATAACTTTGTGTATCCTGTATATAATTTTTATTGCTTTAATGCTATTATTCTCGCTGACAAAATATTATCTCTCTCTCTCTCTCTTTCTCTCTCTCTCTCTCTCTCTCTCTCTATCTCTTTCTATGTGTAGCAATATTCTTGAATCACCTATGAAATAATTTTATGTAAAAATACCAGAGTTTAGTGAAAAAATATACATTGGTTTACCGGTTGTTCTATATGCTCAGGATATTAATTCTCATTTGGTAAAGTTTTTTGTCGGTATCAGTATTATTAAACGTAAGGTTTACTAGTTATTCGTTTTGGATTTCGTGCCCATAAATATAAGCACCGCTCTCTTGTTTTCGTATCGCCAGCACGGGCATTCAGCCGTATCAGTTCAAATTGTTCTCAAGGACGGCGGGTGTTTTTGTTCTGTTGTTTCGTAATTTCGTTGCCGTTTGCTTTGATTGTCGGACAGGATCTGGTTTTTATATTTATGCCAGGTTGTCCCGGGAGAGGAAAGTGATAATATGGTAGATATAGATAGATATTTTAATATGGTTTAATAATTTGGAGAACCATGGCCTCTCATTCGGCTTTCAGACCATTTCGAATATGGGAATAGTTGATTAAACCGTTTTCAGATCGTTCACCCCCGTCTGCCCGTGGAGTCGCGATAAATACCGGTATGTACAGAAGTGGGGTAAGTATACTGGTATTTTACCATTCAGCCATACCAGTAGTTAGGACAGTATTAGCAAAAAGAACAGTAGACTATAACAGATATATTTTTTATAAAATAGATGTGAAAAGAATAATTTAATTTCTGGATTTCCGTTCAAACAGGTATATTTTACAACTGAACTCCAAAAAAATAGCAACGAAATTTTATCTCGAGAATTACTTTTAAAATATGGATGAAAGCTCTGGTCCCCCTGGCGATTTTGCTCAGCGATATTTGACAAGACAATCTTTTTCACCTGGACAAGGGATTTATATGTCTCATAGATCTTCATCAGACCAAAATTCACATTTTAGGAATTCTATGCCAGGAAGCTGCAATGAGTTTTCACCTTTTAAACCTTCAAATATCAGGTAATTTGTGGCCACAATGAGGAGGAATTTTTGCTTTGTATTTGCTGATATTACTGATTCTTTTGTTTGTTATAATAACACTTATATGTTATACATGAACACATAATAAATTACTATACAAGAAGGAGAGTGCGTCTATTTTTCCCCAAACTAATCACCTAATCAACAATATGAATTTAGCAATAACAGAATAATGAGTTAGGGTAATCATTAAATATAAAAGATAGCTCTATCTTCGCAGTACAACCAAAATAGCTCATGTCGCATTTTTCAGAAATGTGATTTATTTTATCGTCAGTCATTGTGGACTTGGGCCCGTCTTTTGTTCTGTGTTCCCAAGCTTGTACCTGTTTCGATATTAATTGTGGACAAAAGTGATTTTTTTCCAACAGCAAAAGCCTTGTCAATCAGTCCTGTTGGGCCAGTCTGGATTTCATGGCCTTTTTGAATGAGAAATCAGGCGTGCAATCAGAAATTCCCGCCTGCAAATCAGAATTCCCGGCGTGCAATTATAGCTCACGACGTGCAAAACAACTGCGCCCGCGCGCAACTGACTTTGACTTTAGAACCTGTTCAATACATTTGCGTAAAATTATTGGAAATTTACGTTGAATCAGAGCAAAAATGGACGTTTGACCTTTGACCCCCAAAAACCTTATTTCTATACTTTGTCATTAATTTTAAGAGTGTTTGTGCGACTTTGGATACTTGTACTGTTTAGTGCATCCGCTTAAAATTATTGGATAAGAAATATGTCGAATCAAAGCAAAAATGGACCTTTGACCCCCAAATATTATTTCTATACTTTGACATTAATTTTCGAGTTTTTTTGTGTAAAATTATTTGATAAACAATACGCTGAATCAAAGCCGTAACTGACCAGCGTCGGCAAGGAGTCTGGCGCCCTTAGCTATTCTCTGGTCTTTTTGCTTCTCATTTTTCGATCAGGCCAAATCTTGCAAGCTAGTATGTAGTCGACAATTGTGGAGCTGCAATTTGTTGACATCTTTATATTACTGGATTATTGATTTAAAAACCATTTATACCAATTTTCATTGGTGAGCAATTGCAAATTTTCGGCATGCAAAGTTGGATTCGCTCGCTTGCATTTTTGCGGAGCGCTAGCGCCCTCGGGCTAGCACCTGCCATGGAATCCAGTCTGGCTGTTGGGCAATTCAATCTGGCCAGCCTGTTACTACCACAACCAAGCAAAACCAAATTTTGATGTTTTAGCTAAATCATAGCTCAAGGGTATTTTGTTTAAATTGCGATTAAATTTAGTTTAGGCACGAGGCTCATCGATTCCTACTTCTGCTTTTGTAACACTGTAAATATTGTTAATAAAAGGTAATTTCACACTTACATGGCCCACCAGTCCAGCCAGCAAAATTTTTGGACCCTGGTTCATCCCAGCTCACGTTTCCTATTCGTGGGATTAAAATTTTGGATAAAACCTTGAAATGTGACTTGCGCTAATTTGGTTCTACCGTGACGATATGTTTCAGAATTTTTAATATCTTACAGATCACCAGAATGCCGAAAAATAATGGATAGAATTTCAACCTTTTGTGGGAAAGAAAATTTAGTTCAAAGAGTTGCTTTTCTTGATCAGGTAAATTTATTAATTGATACATACTATTTTGTGAAACAATTTTTACATTCTCTTGGAATAAGGCTCGCACTGTTTTTTTCCAACATGGGGTGGGTGCGACCAGGGCCGTACACAGGAGAGGGTTTGTGGGTCGGAACCCTCCCTTTTGAAATGTAAAAAAAAAAACATTTTTCTGTATCATATGTATTCGAATATCAACTTATCGACGCTAATGATTTGGTTTCTGCGAGACTAACTACTTATCCTTCTTCTATGCTTTTGTGTCGGCGGATCCGTATGCATATAGTGCAAGGATGCTGTAGCAAGAGTAAAGATAACTGTCCTAAGTGATTCAAGAGGGTTGCTGCACACTTACACAAATATATTTCTGTAACGTTTTGTCTGACCAAGGTTAGACTTCTTCAGACATACATAGTTCAACTACAACTACTACTAGTTGAATTATGTATGTCTGAAGAAGTCTGACCTTGGTCAGACGAAACGTTACGGAAATATATTTGTGTTAGTGTGCAGCAACCCTCTTGAATCACTTTCTGTATCATACATAACAATTTTCATGCTTGAAATGCTTTTGAAACCCTCAAGGCTTTTGAAAACAGTGGCAGTGGTTGTCAAACTTTTTTAAAACGCGACCCCATTTCAAAAATTATGACGTATGATAAGCTTGTGACCCCGAGGTTTGACAAGGGAAAAAAAATTTCAAACCACTAAAAACTAATCACAATAAAATCTCATTTCCAAAATTTTTTTCACACGCTCTAGAATTCGTGTTAGAATTCAATTATTGCCGTCAAACAATAGCCTTATTATAAAAGATATCACTGTAATTCAGAATACCCAAACTTGCTATGTAGTGCTAGTCAGCTCAGTGTAGAATGCACGCAATAGAATATTGAAAAATAAAACAAGAATACAACGCTGGACACTCGACGACCCCGAAATATTCAAGGTGACCAAACTTGGGGTCGCAACCCACACTTCAGTGACCACTGTCTTATGGGACCCGTTAGCTGTTTCGGTCTAACTCGTCAATTAGAAATTTACGAACCTCTCGTTGATAAATCCAGGCTGAACCCTGGTTGCGATGCGAAGTTGGGTCGTCTGATATTCTTCTAGGTTTCTTGTTTAACAAAAACATATAACAAGTTATTAACCAGGGCTTGCTTTATTTTAAATTACAAAATAGCTGCTAATTCGTCAAAAAAAAAACGATCCTATGATAAAGATTTTCAAAAACTTGGTTTTACCAACTTGGATGTTGGTAAATGTCATGTTAAAATATGATTGTTTTGCATTAATAATTAATTTTGTGGCTGTAACAGCACTACAGTATTTGAGCATATTTTTGGGTAACAAGTTGGGTAACAAAAAATTTAATTTGCTTTTAAAATTTGGTTTGCTAAAAAAAGGTTCTTCACTTCTCCAGAGATTTATATGCTGATGTTAGAATGGAACTACTCTTAACTAAAAAGCAATAAAAAGTTTCTTCAAATTTAAATATTTTCAAATTTTGTCTCGAATAAATTGGTGTAGCCTACATCAGGGCTACTCAACTATTTTTATCGAAGGTCCGCAAACAAAACTTCAAAATTATTTGGGTCCGGTCTTTCCAGAAATGATATTTCGGCATCCTTAACAAGCACTTCCTCGACCGACTAATGATTAGTAGCAAATTAAAAGTGTTTATTATGGTGTTATAGTTCTTTTCGTATATATTCAAAACTATGAAAGTCATTTTATAATAGGAAATTCAAAAAGTGGGGCTAATGATCCAAAAAAAATTTCTCGAAAGGTCCGGATTCGGACCGCGGTTCGCCAGTTAAGTAGCACTGGCCTACATTTCTAGAAATGACCAGTAAATGGAAAACAATTAACAGACGTACTGAGTTTATAGTGCTCTTTATATAAACTATATAAGAACCATGGAAATTCAATCTTTGGGTTTATTGAACCTTTCAACAAATACAAAATTGACATATTATTTATATATCACATTGTAAAATATGATTGAATGAATTTTGTTGATTGAAAATGAAACAGTATGAAATTAATTCAAAATTTCGTTTGCGTTCGTGGCTCTTAAGATAAATTTAATATTTAAAACATCCTGGAGATGATGTAATTTTTACACCACATGGGAAATTTATTTTAGAGATATATTTTAATAATGCACAGCTAAATGGATAACGTTTTGTCATTAACATAGCCTATATATATTCCATAGTAATTCCCTAAAATAACGAACTTAGAGTGGTTTATGTGTCCAATGTGAGAAGGCAATAGAATTTTGCACTTGAAAGGGTTAATAAGTGCTTGTTTTGAGCCTTTTCAGAGCAAGAACTACATGTCAGCTAATCATAATGACAGTATTATTTTAATACACGTTTATATTCCATAGAATAATGTATATTTGAAAACAAATCCTTAACAAAACTTCCAGCTGTAGCGTGATTTGTGTGTCTTATATAAATAAACCTTATATATAGCTACAAAAGACTAGAAAACCTGTCATAACATACACAAGTATGTACGGAGGTTTGTAATAACATAGGATGTTTGAATTGGGTGCATATGACTGCTCAAGAATGTCACAATGTTTTGAAAAATAACAGACAAACATAACTTAGAAATCACAACAGTAAAGCCCTTCAAGGAAAACCCATTTGGACTGAGTTCTAAGCCTGTATTAATTTGAGCCTTATTACCATAGGTTTTACCATAACACGAAAAGCGTTAAGTCGACTAAGCAATTTCAATGGCCTGTAGGCTTGCATACAACAAAGTTTTGTTTTTGTTAAAGTTTGATTTTCTCAAAGCGACTCCTGTGTCATTTGATTATTGTGTTCATGTAAAGGCACCTAGTAAATTGATGCTCTCTATTTTAATATAGCAGTAATATTTTTGTTCATAGAATATTGGAAACAGTTTGAATTGGTTTTCCTCCAAGGCAGCGGGTATCAAACTTTTTTGTGTATTCGTATGTGACGACACATTATCAGGGAAAAAAACTTTACACAAGAAAAATTGCTGCTTTTAAATAAAACTCAATTTTGTGATCGTTAATGTGCACTTCATGACGCGGCACTTTCTGGAAACCACTGTTTATAGGGTTTACTCTCACTTATTATTTCCTTGGTCGTAAAAGTAATAAAACTTTTTTACAACAACAACAAACAGCTGAATACCAGATGTGCTTGCCAGACAGTTGGTCATAAAATATTCATTCCTAATTGCTATGTCTGGAGTTTGTTTAGAACACTTCATATTTCCGTTTTTGATATGATACGTCAGAATATTTAGTTTAAGGTTAAATTTAGTTTTTATGAAATAGAGCAATTCATAATTCACGAGAATTAAGTCGTTTGTTTTGTGAAATTTCATGAGTGTTTATATGCCTCATTCAGGAGCGCCAAACTGGAAATTCTGTTCTGAAAAAATGAAGAATATGAATTTTTGTTATTCTTCAAACTGTTGTAAAATTTATTGAAGTATACTTTGGTGAATACTGCTTCCAACCATGATTAGATACCTGATTAAATAGACTCTTTGTGATAGCCAAGTAAATAAATATACCATAGGTTTCAGTCCCTTTACACCACATGATGTAAAGTAGGTGAACAAAATTAGTTACCGCCAGTCCGCCACATTGGTACACACACCCTTGGCGCACTTCTTTTTCTTAATCTAACATTTGCTCTTTTGTATTAATCTCTTCAAACTTCAATTTTTTATTTGTCTTCCAGGAACTGTCAGTATTCGGCTATCCGTCCATCGTCAGCGATTTTGAAGATGACTTGGAATTGTCGCCAGATCAACAACAAAGTGGCGCTATAGATCTTGTGACTCTTGTAAACATCTCGTACGATCTACTGAGATCTTGGCGTCAATCATTTGAAATACAAAGTGAATCGAATGATGTACAGCGATCTTCTGAAGCCGAAATTGTCAGATTGAGACATCTGGCCTCAAGATTGAAGGTGAGGCAATTTGATCAATTACAGAAATATTGTCTGTTTATACCAGGGGTGTGCAACCTTTTTCCAGGCGGGCCAGATTACACTAAATTAAAAACTTGTTTCTCTGGTCGCACGCCATTCAAAATTGGCACCTCTCCGCGGGTCGCACGATTTTCTCTCGCGTGCTGCATTTGGCCCCGCGGGCCGCAATTTGCACACACCTGGTTTATATCAGTGGTTCTTAGAGCTGACCGGGGTCCAAAATTAGAAGCGGGAGGATATTCGCGGGCCAGGGGAAGGGAGCGCCTGCAAAGGGCTGGTTCGGTACCTATAATTAAGATACCAGTATAATTCAACTGTTACGAATATACATGTGCTTAAATGTGATAATGACATAACAATTGGCGATATCTAGACCGCAAAGTAGAAAAACAAATAGTTGAACTATATTTCACTCAAGTTCGGCGTGCTATATTAAATCGTTAAGGGCCGTCCGTGGTTTGGGAACCACTGCTTCAGTTTGAATGATGTTTTCAAGCATTAATTTTTGTCGGTACAATATTCATGCGCGACAGAATAATGTCCGAATCTTATTGATGCACGAATTACTACTTAAACCAGTGGTTCTTGTACTTTTCAAGAATTTGTCAAGTCTCGCGCTCAACCTTATAAATAAATAGCTAACAATAAGCTACAAATAACAGATAGTAAGGCGAAAGTATATTTTATTCAAAAAACACATTGGTTAGTTGAACTATGTATGTCTGAAGAAGTTTGACCTCGGTCAGACGAAACGTTACAGAAATATATTTGTGTTCGTGTGCAGCAAGACTCTTGAATTGAATAAAGAAATGTAAATATCCAAAATAAAGCGGACAAGATCAGATCTGACAAATATCTTTATTTTTAATCAGCTTCATGCCTTACAAAAAATTTGTCTTTGTCCAGCGTTTGAGAACCACTGACGTATACTGTACAAAAGCCATAGTGTGACTTGCAGTAACGCTACCTAAGGATCCATTTAAGATTGAATAAACAAAAGTGCTTTTTATTCGTAGTAAGGAAGATATAAAGAGTTCAAAAAGGGAGGAATATAATGAGAAATATTGGGAACCACTGCCTTAACTAGCTTTGTAGATATCCTTGGTTACAATAAACATTCATATCTTTTTTGCGCTCAGAGATATCTCCTTGACGTCTCGTCCTATTTACATTGTTTGATAATAATCGATGACATTATGAGTCATAGTATATATTATAAAGAGATGATAGACAAATTGTCAACATTGACATTTGTTGATTCAAACACTTCAGTGTTCACTTTCATAGTGTTCCCCATGGATATTCAAAACAAGTCAAATATCTAAATCAGTATTTCTCAAACTTTTCAAGTCGTGCCCCTTTTCAAAATTTGCCAAGTCTCACCTCAAAAAATACTATCTTACAATAAGCTACAAATAACACATGATTAGACGAGAGTATGTTTTATGTGAAAAAAACACATTGGAAATATGTAGATGTAATGTGAATATTCTATATAAATAAGGTGTGCAAGATCAAATCTACCAAAAAATTTTCTATTTTTGATTAGCCCCACACCCCCTAAAAAAATTGTTTAGCCCCGCCTTGTGGGGCATTCCCCCCAATGTTTGAGAATCACTGATCGAAGTTAGTTTTTAAATTGTTTCGAACAAGACCCTACAGAAGAAGCGACTGGTTTTAACAGTATGTTAGGAGCAGTGTTCCCTCTAAGGTGTGCGCGTGTGCGCGCGCACACAGCTTTCAGAGGCTGCATACCTGCATAGATTTACTGCGCAAAGACGTATTTCGATGTAATGTAACAATGTGCTCGGTTGGCAGGTTGAGAAAGTTTGTTGTTGGCCCACTTATTACCCGGTTAGAACGCTCAAATTTCTTCATTGGTTTTTGCACAAATATTAGTCATTTTCAAAATAGTGCGCACACACCAAAATTTCTGCGCACACATACTACAAAAAATTAGAGGGAACATTGGTTAGGAGCTATTATGGGGATTGGGGTTGTGGGGGGGGTCTAGGCTAGGCGAAAAAAAAACGATTTTACTTTTCACTCCACAAGAAAATTCCCTGTTCTTCCTAGTTTTGTTGCTTGATAAGGTTATTTCACACTGTGTTTTCAATTTGTTGATCATGCATTGTTTGAACATAATGGGATTTGGAATCTACCAATCAAAATTACGCTATAATACCACTGGAATGATAAACAGAGTGCCATGAAAACTAAAATTTTTTGGAAGGGAGCCTTGAGCAATAAAAGGTTGGGAACAGTGTTCACTATTAGCGCACTTTTTTGCGAAAATTGCGAAGCACTTTCGCAACTTTTTTTAGGGACTGCGAAATAGCACTTTTTTCCGATTTTGAAGAGAAATAGCACTTTTTTCCGATTTTGAATGGAATAAAAATTCAAAGTTAACAAATATTTTCGAGTATTAAGTTGACAAATAAGTAACATACTGGTACTTTTGTAACTCAATTCTGCATATCATAACGATATTTACCGGAATTCTAACCTATGAGATGCAGACATAGGAGATAAAGCTTTTGCATTAACGGCAAAATCTTGTTTATAATATGATTATTGTACAAGCACACGGATTCCGCTTCTCCCGCAAAAAACGCTCCCGGGGCGTTTCTTTGAACGAGAGTGGTCATGTGACTATCAATGATATCGATGAATTCAAAATGACTATAAAAAGTGTTAGTAACCTGTTATAGTCACTTTGGATGAATTGTGACCAAACTGCACTATTTTCAAATCAGACGAAACTTTTAGCAGCATGTCACAGATTTGCAAAATCAACAAATTCACAAAATACCATTAAGTGCCATTTTATTGTAATCACAATGTTGAAAGGACGTCATTGATATGCGAGGAGGGGTGGGCAAAATTCAATATTTTTTTAAATCGAATATTTTTAAGGAGTACCGAATAAACGTGGTGGAAACATTAAAAAATCGGCAACAAAGCCTTTTTACTGGTTAATTCCGTTGTAATCGCTAATTGTTCTTGTCACCGATCGTTTGGCGGCGATATCCAGGTTTTGGGTAATCTGTATTCCCGCCCTCTCTTTTTTACAAATATGAATTCTTGTGGGTCGGCGGACATCGAAGTTTTATATTTAGGGTTTACCTGTTCGTTCACATCGGCAACAGCTGTTAAAGACATTGAGGACTCAAATTAACATTTGCGCTGGCTTTAATATTACCTATCAAGATTTGTAAATTTACCGTCCCAATTTTATGCGAATGGTAATATTATTGTCCATACCGTGATGCAGATATTTATTAAGACGATAATTAACTTTCTCATGTATTTCTATGGTGATAAACTTCGCAAATCTGAAATTGTGCCAATCCTGAATGTGGATTTGAAATAGTGATTGAATAATTCGGCTATAAAGGCATTTCTGCGTGGTCATAAGACGAAATGACGTTAATGAACAGCACTTCTTTTACAGGATATTTTACGTATGCGACTTAATGCTAAAAAGATTGGGCTCGAGTGCTTTTTTTTCGAGTGCTCGAGTGCCTAATAGACGTCAGGCGCTAATTGTAACTAATTCCCTCAAGTTTCAACGTGTTTTCAACAAAACAATACCCCGGCGATAATTATAGCTAAAATGTTACCGAGCAATTCACAATTTTATTTATGGAATTTGCAAATTCACCAGTTTCTTGACGATTTTGATGTTGTCACGCCCTAATTATTAGTGCAAAAATACTCCCCTTTCTTCGCGGCGGTTTGACGGGTTCTTTGTTCCATTCTTCAGAAAGTTCTGACACGGGGATATAGAATACTGAATCCGGAGGGTTGAATCCCTGTCCACTTACTGGTGATTTTTCGTTTTGAAATGCGTGAAACATTCTCTATTTTAAATTAAATGACGTTTCGCGGGCTAGAGTTCTCCCCGAAAATGATGTGTTCCAGACGTTAGTTAGACGATAGATAAAACATTAGATTAATAATTTTCGTGACGCCCCGTTTTCGAAAATACAAAGTTATATCGCAAAAAAATGCGTTATGATACATTTGGAATGAAACATTATTTACGGTGAATTCAGATCACATTTTACTCTCCATGACACCCGGTATCTGAAAATACAGTTGTATCTCGAAAAATGTGTTTTGTTACATTTAAAATAAAACATTTTTGCGATTAATTTAGATCATATTTTACTTTTCAGGAAACCCGTTTTCGAAAATACAAGGTTATATCGCAAAATGTGTTTTGTTACATTTAAAATAAAACATTTTTGCAATTAATTTAGATCAAATTTTACCTTTCACGGCAACCCGTTTCCGAAAATACAAAGTTATATCACAAAACATGCGTTTTGTTACATTTATTTTGCATTCCCAATAAAATACATATTTTCCCTAATTAAGGTCGTCGATGAATCTGTTCCTGTCGTTCAAGCTCGACACACGTTTGGACGAGTGTGGGGCGGTTTTTTGATCGACGATAAATTAAAAAGTTGCCACACGTTATTTGTATAACGATAATAACTGAAAATTAAGATTTTATAATAGAAGTGAATTTGTCTCAAGATGGTATTTTACAATTCCTGCCCACATTTATTTTACACTATTAATAAACGCGCCACACCAATTGCGACCATATAAATTGCAGTCGCATCGGTATGGACTGTATGTTTTTGGCGCTCTCAAATTAATAATAATTTTCAACAAAACAATACCCCGACGGTCATTAAAGCTGAATTCGTTACCGAATAATTCGCAATTTTATTTACGGAATTTGCAATCTCAAGATCTCACTTGACGATTTTGATGATGTCATGCCCTAATTATTACTGCTTGAATGCCTCAAAATACAGCAAGTGTAAGCATTTTCGACGATAACAGGCGCAACAATTCGTAAACGAGCCTTTATAACGAAATTCGCGATTGATTTTACCTCTCTCTTGTTTACAATTTTAACATCCCGCCGGCCATGTATGGCCGAATAAAATGTTCACATATTC